GTTTTCCCAACAGGGGAGATCCTGTGTACATTAGACACCTTCCTCTACTGGACAAACCGGCCTGAAGCAGTGCTGGTAGAGCAGATGAGCAAACTGACAGCAATAGATGTGGGCTTGCACCAGCACTAAGGCAATTATCTGGTCCAGCAGCATAGGAAAACAACACTCTCCACTCTCTAAGCCGGCCTCTCTGGTGGATTTTCCTCCGACCGTAGGCTGCACATTCTGCTTGTGTATCACAGAGATTATTAAATGTAAAACAAAAGAGAATGAATATAGAAAATAGATTAGTTATTCAAGTCGTCTCTAATCTAAAAATAAAACATTGTTGTATCAGGCTTGGTGTCTGTGCAAATAACATGAAAACTTTACTAACCAACAAGTAAGGTTTCAAATTGACTTGAAAATCTGGGTTGAGACAGGTCTGAGGGCAACTGAATCAATACAGCAAAGAATCAACTAAATATTATAAGAAAAATACTTCATAGTTTATTGGTATCTTTTGGCAAGTGGGAGTGCAATGTGGATGGACATAATTTGTTTGTTCTGCATGTTTTTGAGACTTTTCCAATAACATGTTTTCAAACCAACAATATTATCCAAAAACCTTTCATGGATTAAATGCATGTAGTATTTTAAGTTGGGTTTTTTGTCTTTGAACACAGACACATACCAAATCAAAACATACAACCTGTGCAACTAATAACTCCCAAAAAGGAGAACTTATTACAGTAGTTACGCAATTTAGTCCATTATATTCCTTTTTCATTGAAATATTTGTTTTCCTTTTGTAGCATATTAGATTTTGAAATATCTTCAAAAGCTCACGATAGTACCCGTTTTAGAATTCTGATAATCTCTTATTTTCCACATTTCCAGTGGCGTTGAATGAAAGTGAAAGAGACAGGAATAGGTTTTTCTGAATGAAATATTCTGAATGCAGAGGAACAGTAGAGGTAAAAACTGCTGACATGATACAAGCCACAATTCCTCAGGATATTGTTCCAAACGGCACACACAGGTTCTAAAATAAGCGAATGTGAATAGGTAGCTTTCTTCCAGCACTTTGTCATGTAGAGCTTGCGTTAGCGCTTTGTCCGTTCGGCTGTCGCACAACGCGCCAACAACAACACCGAGAGGGCTTGGACTTCTTTCAAACATGACGCCAGGCTTGTTTTCAAAACCACATTGGCTTTAAATTTACATTAAAACGCTCTGTGGTGTGAACTAAGCGGAACAGTAGTGTCTGGGGTACCAAACCTACTACGAGTTTGAACCTATAATGTGCTCCAAGAAAATCAGAGGCAACGTAACAGCTAGCAAAACGGAAATCCAAGTTCAGTCAGAGCCAGACAGAGAACTCAACTAAATTACCTTGAAATTGCTGTTCTGCTATTCACTCAAAACTAGTAGATTATCAACTACTACCAGCAAAAAAGTGACTCACATAAATTATATATAGTTGAGCTTTGGTAAACATAAGTAACAAAAATCAATCTTGAAGCTCATTTAGAACTGACTAATATTTGCATGAACACTCATTCACGAAACCATGTTGACGTGTCCTAAATCTCCACTTTCCTCTTCTTGCATGAGATGAATGTAAAAACAAAAGTACATCCTGCGATGATGTGTCTGGTTTTCACAATGTGGCGGATACAACAAAAAACCTTTGGAGTGGGTCCAAATCTAAAAGCAAAGAATACTCCTCCTTTCACCTGAGGAGTCTCGTGTGTGTGTTCCCTTGAGATGGGGAGACACAAGCAGGCAACTCGTCACTGCAGAATTGACTTAAATCTGAAACTGTATGCTTCAGGGGATCGATCAATCATCTGGAGTAATGGATATATGTGCAGTCTTTCAACAATAGGCTTCTGTACACAGGAGATTCAGATCCCCTTAAGATCTCTGGCAAAGGCTGTTTGAGTTGGGGCTATACTTTGCCGTTGGCCTCGTAACTCCACACTTTGAACCTCACAGTATTGGGCCTGTTATACAAGGTTTACTAAAGAGTATGAATCTAAAATGGTATAGGTAGGGTAAACAGTCAAGATTTTTTGTATGAATGGGACAACACAGAATTGCCGGCCAATCAGACATAAGACATCATTCGTCAGGGAGTAAAATTGCAAAATCACCCTTATGCTCAAATGCGCTGCAGACCTTCATGATTCCAAAATATAAGGATGCAATATTGACAATAATAAAAAAAAAATGGTATTTCACCTATAGCAATATTACAATATTAAGTGAATCCAACAGAAATGTTATGATAAATACAAGGTTACTGTAAAAGGTAAGACATCACTCAATACCATAACTACTTAAAATTTTACTGCAGAAGATAAACATTTAAAAAAGATTAAATCATTCATTGAAATGGTCATCTTACATGGTTCCTTTGATAGGAAATTCTTTCATGCAGATGCCCTCAAGTGTAGTTTAAGTAACATCTGAAATTCAGCTCATGTTCAGGCGTATTCTAAAGTCGTCATTGTGCCAGGTGTCTTTTCCATTAAAATTGCATCTCCTGGGGACAAAAATGTTTGTTTTAGCCAAAAACCGTTAACATCATTATTTAATCCATGTTTTTGGGCTTGCTTTGGATTGACTGTGAGCCCCTTTTAACTCGAGTCCACCATAAAGGTCAGTGCTTCGACATCTGCTGCTCCCTCTGAACCTGTCTTTTCATAAAGGCGACTCTGGGAAGAGGAGAGGACCCCGGGGAGGACATGCATGCGCGCGCACACTTATCCACCTTCCACTCTCCGCACCATTCACCTCTGTATCAGTGGCGGCTCAAACCACGCGTGCACTCCCCTCAAAAGGATACAACGCGCAGAGAAAGGATCTGTGGTATCATTACACTAGAATGGAGACGCCCGGGCTTTGGCTCAAAGACAACATTGAGGTGGGGGGAAGATCGCGGGTGCTGCCGGTGGTGGGGTGACCAGTCCGGAGCTAAATGGAATACCACCCCTCGAGGGAATGTTGAAGTCAGAAAGTGGTGTTGAAATAAGTGATTCATGCTTTTATCATCCCAGGTGAACAGAGGTCCTCTTTCAGCTGTTATACTACAGGTCTCTGGCAACAGGCAGAGTATGAAAGCAACACTGTCTTTCCCCCTGCGTTTTGTTTTAGTTTGCCTTCAACAGCAACATAGTAAAGAAGGCTGTGACATTAAAATGTAGCATGGGGAAATCTAAGATTTACAGACATTGGAATAATCCATGCGTGCATTGATAAGAAATTCTTTGACGATTTTCCACATACAAGAAAACATGTGTGCAATGAAAAAAACTGATGATTACACCAATACAGGAACAACACAAGCTGAAAATCATTACAAATCATACATAAACGAGACATGATGAGAAATTCACACAATGCAAATATCAAAAAGGTTTACTGTCTGACTAAGCCATCACTACGTCTTTTATTGTATTGGTTCGTTGAAATTACAAAAATAAATGTATCCATAATAATTAAAAGTTACGTATTCTGTTCCAAAACTTGGATGCACAAAGTGGTCTAATCAAAGGGCTCTGTATGGCCTTTTATCCCATCATAATCCCATTAGCAGTGTTCGCAGCCCCTCCCTGAGCAAAGCCAAAAGCATTCAAAGCACAGTGGTCAGTCTAAGATGCCTTTAGCAGTTACAGTAAATGACCCACCCTCGGCTAATAAAGACCTCCTTATGGCACATTAATTTCTGTTAAACCTGACCAGACCAAGCCACCACACAAACATCGACCCCACTTGCAAAAACTGCCAAACACAGATGATTCTGCAGATATCAACTGGACAGGTGGCCAGCCACCCAGACCTGACCCGCGTGCCCTCTGCCTCCCCCTTAACTGAAATCAGTTCAGGGCTGCTGGAAAGCCCCAGATGAACATGCAAACATCCCCTCCCCAAACAACACACACCCCCTGCAAATGTCTGTTACCCACAGAGCTGTCTGCAGGATTATAGCACAGCAAAACATACCCAACGCACCATCAAATGTCCAAGAGAAATCAAAACAAGCGGTAATAACGTAGTATTTGCAGCTCTGCAGCTCATTCCATGTAGCAGCATAAACACATGCATGACGGGCAGAATAGACATTTCAGAGAGTTTTCTGGAAGTTACATTTATTAAATAAAGCCCATAGTTCATCAGCGGGTCAGGACGCCTGCTTCACTGGAAACGCTGACACAGAAGCGACGTAAAGCAGCTATATTCTGTCCTCAGGTGCACTCCACATGTTGGGATGTTCAGATATGGCATTTCTGCTGCTGATCCCTGCTGTATCTGCGATAGATGACGGTGGGTTTCAGCACAGTCCCATGTTTCTGGTACTTTATAACACGCGTACTACACTGTTCCAGCTCTGCGCTCCAAGAATCCGGCCGAGCACGTTGTGTGCATGGGGAAGTGTTCAGTGGTGTCAATATTTCATAAATAGTGGCGAAAGAACAAGGTGCTCACAAAGCCTCAGCGTCTATCAGTCCCGTGTCGTTAGCTGGACTCCATTATCGGACAGCTAGCGGTGTTTAGTCACAGTAGTAAATGCGCTGCTGTCCGAAAACAAATGCATGCACCCATACAAAAGAAAAGCAGAGGGAATATACACCTCAGACTGGGACAATCTCCTCTTTCTGGGGACGTGCTGCAAGTGGTGGAGGGTCTGAGCACACCGCTAGCTCCTGCCCCGTTGTCTGGGGGTAGACCACCGAGGGGCAAGTATGGCTTAGCTGGGGCTAGCTCACCAAACACTGCAGCAGTCAGCCCAGGCAAGAAATTAGGGAAAAGGAAACCCTCACACGCGATCACACTCACTGGAACAAAGAAAGCACTTTTAGCTGCTGAGGTGAAGAGTGCTGCAAAACAGACCCAGCTGCAACTTAGCGAACCAAACTGATGCATTTTTTATCATAACAAGTTGCATTTTGGGTGAACGCTGATTCCCCCCCACATACACACACACACGGAGCAACCCCGAAAATCAGACTCACCCTGTCACAACAGGCGCCATCTTCCACAAACTCTCACCAAAACTCCAATACTCGCGATATCCTTTCCTCTCCCACAGTCCAACAATCCTCCGAGACAACACACGCGGACTGAGGAGCGGGGACCGAGGCGCACTGGAAGGGGTGGGTGGGTGAGGAAGATGCGGAAAGGGGAGGCAGACACGGGGAGAGAGAGACTAGGCAGAGGGCAGACGCCACAACAACAGGCGTGGGAAACTTCCGACATCACGCGAGAACTGGAAAACTCTCATAATAGGCAAGCATTGGGGGGAGCGCCTGGTCTCGCGAGACTATGGTATAGTGGAGTGCTTGTTTATCATGTGGCGGTGAAATACTATTCCCACGTGTTATAACCCGCGGTAATAAATTGCTCCACGTTCCAAAAATAAGCCCACGCAACGTTTCATTTTCCCAGGCAAAGACTGTATGACCGGTGGGGTTGTGTTTTGTGGTGTGACTTAAGGTGGCCGGATTTAAAATAAACAAATACAATTGGAACACATCCGGGTGGGTGTGGGACTAAAGCTGGGGTACCTAACTTTATTTGTTCTGTTTTGAATAATTAATACGATAATAGAGAAAGAGACTCCGCCTTTCAATTCAATTTATTTAGCCCTAAATCACAACAGCAGACTTTGCGAATTACTTTACAAAGTTGTCGATTCACCGACAGCAGATCAGAAACTCAAACAGTTTGAACACAGGAAATGCGATAACAAACACATATAAGCTATTTGGCCATACGTAAATAAATGTTCATAAATGTACATAAATATTCTTAAATCTCCCGGATCATCACTGTCCATAGACCCTCCTGTCTATATTTTATTGAAAAACATTTTCGCACAAAATAGCCCTGTGAGTCCTGTGTGTGTGGCGTACCCGCTCCCATCTCTGTGTGGATTGAGAGACAAATGCCCAAAAATAACAATTCTAAACCGCTTTGTGACTCTGGTCTGTGAAAGGCGGTATATAAATAAAGATTACTTACTTGCTTACTTTCTGAAAAAGCTGATTAAAACACAAGAGAGCGACGAACTTGTAAAATGGATTTTATTACATAGTTATTTTTTGTGGTTTGAAGGTAAATACCCCAGCTGGAAATAATGATTCCCCTTTCATTATAAAATTGTATATTATGCACCTGTTACATCAAATTGTGAAAGGATGTCATTTAAGTAAATTACATACAATGTGATTTTTCAAACACTGTTTTGCTCTTTTCAACGTTTTGTTCTGAAAAAGAAAATAAACAAACTAAATGTTTGTATTGAGTGTGACCGGACATGGGACACATGGGTCAGACTGAAGCTGTCCCGTGTGACAACATGGTCACGCTTACACACATGTGTAGTTTAGGAGTGTAACAGTGTGATACCAGATGCTCTACAGCCAAAATGTTTTCTTTTACCATTTCCACATTCCCTGCAAGTATGTAAACATTAATGAGAAGAGCTGATGGGACTTCAAGGTCAAACAGCTAGAATGACTGGAGAATCTGTGGTGCCTATGTACACCAAATGGACATTTCCCATGGGTAACGTTGCAGTTCCTGTTTAGAAAGTGGAAACAATGGTGTGAACACATGTGAATGGACCATACAGGGCAGATTAGTGCAATGCCATCACACTGAGGAGTCCCATGACTTACCCCAACTTTAGCCCAAGCACAGAAGCCTATTATTTGGCAACCTTTCGTTTGAGAGAATTTCCAAAAGTTTATCAGTGACATTCCCACAGCGAACTTGTAAGGTTTTTCTAATTGGTCAGGGCGGGAAAGCTGTAAACATTCATGTCAGTCCTCCTGGCTTGTTTACCTTAATTTGAATATGTTTAGATGTCTTTGTCCATTACAACCATTACAACTCACTTTGAGCTTCCCTGACTTCAAAGAAATAAGTCCGTTATTTATCCCTGCTGTAAAAGCCTGCAGGGGTTAGCCAAATGGCATGTTGTAGCGTACTGCAATCGTGATTTATTCCAGTAAACACACACACATTTCATTATGTAGGTCAAATCTCAACAATCAAAATTGTGTTTTGAGTGCCAAAAAGCAATACAATTTGGGTGTATAGATTTGATAATATAGATTTGTACATTTTGTATATGACATTTGTGTAGATTTACGTTCACTAGACAATGATAATATTATAATAATATAGTAATATTTAAAATATCCTATTCTAATAAGTCACAATCTTATAACTGAATGGGTGATGGTTTACGTAACTACATAAAAGTACAATAAATGTGATGCTCTTTTCTTTTTCATTTTTCTTCTTCTTGTGTTGTTTTCATTTGGCATTTCTTTTCAGCCCCACAAGAAACCACAAAACCCACGTCCCACGTCTCATAGGCCCATACTCATTGGAACAGTGACTAATAGTGTAGTCATGTTGTAGTTCTATAGACCCTTAATAAACTTACAAAAGGCCAAATATTTCCTTTATTCCACAGTTTGAAAAATACATCCAATTTTGACCCTTGGATTCTTGTGCTTTCCATTCTTCTTTGTTCCACTTTTGTCACTAAGCCCAAAGTAGCCCCCTGCCTGTGCTCCCCTAACGCCCGCTGTCTCATTAAGGCTGAAAACCATTTCTTTTATTGGAGACTGCAGTCAATTCAAGTAATCATGACTAAGCCCTAAGCCTCAGGTTTATAAATCCATTCACTTGACTGCGTAAGCTCAGTGCTCACAAAGAAAGCGGTTGAGTGCTGAAAAGAAAGATTGCTCCTCCAAGTGCAAGCCATATAGTCCTACTGCAATCTTGGTTATCTGGAGATTTGACCTATATACGAAATGAAACCCTAACCCTTCGTACAAGATACCAAAATGACTCTTATCGTCTCACTTGAAAATTAGAACAATATGGAGAGCCTGCCAATTAGAGAAGTGCGGTTTCCTGATTAGCAGCGTTTAATGTGAAGTCATTTGATACAGCAGCAGGAGGAGGAGGTGGGGCTTCCTCAAAATGAGCAAGGAGAAGTGACAGACACGATGGCGAGAGTCGAGAGACAGTGGGTTAAAAGCCAGACAGGCACAAGACGAGACTGATCGGAAATTAAAATTTGGCACGTTGCTAAACACATGAAATCAGAGACGACTGCTTTTTCCATCACATGTTTTTAGAAGTTTAATTGCAGTAGCAGGTTTATATTATTATTGTATCATTATTATCATTACACAGTTCACTAAGAAGTTCCTTTAAGCTCTTTACAAAAGTCGTTTTTTTCTGGAATCTACTTGACTACTTATTTTTCTTTCTACTTTTAGACTCAAACCCTTTCTACTCCATAATTTGGTGTAATAGTTTAGTTACTTTTAGAACATTTTCAGGAAAAAAATGTATATCACCTAATTTTGAAGGAAAAAATGCATTTTACTTTTTATTATTTTTAAGTAAGTGTAAGTACTTTTGCCACCTCTAGCTAATTTTGATTATGGCCATTTCTATCTTACCCCGTTTTTAAGATTAAGAAATCCTTTATTCTTCCCACAGTGCATGGGGACATTTCAGTGTTGCATCACCAGTTACAGAACAGTATGAAAGAATAGCACTCAGATAAGATAAATGAACCAAAACCTCTAACACTAGCATCAAAAAGAAACAAGTATAAAATCTCTACTTTTAGCATAATTCGTGCAAAAACTATGCCTATAGCATAATAAAGAAGTATAAAATCTCCAAGTAACTAAAGTTTACAATAAAAAAAATACAGAGAAAAAAGTACACATGCAAGTCAGTTCAGAAAACAAAAATACAGAATATATAAGGAGGATATAGCGAAGTCTTGAAGAAGTATAAAATCTCTCTCTGTCTTTTATTCATCACCACCAGCCCCCACTGTATAGAATTGTCTAAAATGAGTGAAAAGCCAAAGGAAAGTGGGCGTCCTGGAGCATCCTGGCCTCATGTCCAGCTGTCCGAACCGCCAGGGAAATCCCACAGGGTGTCGTAGGTCAGACGGCCTGATGAATGGAGTCTGAAAGTCCGGCATCAAAAGAGCTCTCCTCCCCTCTTCTCAACTTCCCGTTTTTGTATCACAAGATCACCACAGACAGTCAGAGAGGGAAAAGGGTGATAGGTTTGGAGACTGTCAAGGGAAACCGTTTTGCAACAATTTTGAAAGAATCACAAGCATGAGGGCCGAGACGCTTCCCCTCTTTCCTGCAGCGGTGCGGTTCACGGTGAGTTCAAGCTGCAAAGAGTCGGTGCAAATGTGTGCGTCGAAAAAGAGAGAACAGGCACACTATCTGGCAGCTCTGAGTCAGCCCATATTTCATATCAGGAAACAGGCAACAAAATATGACTGACTGACATTCTGCAGACATCGTGTGTAGAGTACAGTGGAAAGTGGAAAAATCTCACGTTTATAATAACTTAAACATGTTTGTATTCTTTGTCGTCTTTTTGACCGGTGCGAATATGTTTGAATATTATGTGAATATTTCATAAGGATTAGCTTCATCCTTTTCAAAAACTGTTGTTCCCTTATTTTGTTTTGTATATTAGTTTTACCGGTTTTGAAATATCTTGACTGATGTGTGTCTATACATTGGGATAAATAAAATGTATATATCGTTGGATATTAACTAGGCCTAAATACAGTTTTTAATCTGTGTTGAAATGCCACATCAACTGTAGGAAAGGTTGGTGTGTTTTTCGGACCCGTGTCAGCTGTTAATAACAGGAAGAAAGGTCACAACAAAAGGGTCAAAACAAACTTTCAAAATGCTTCTAAGTTATATTGTCCTTTGTGTAACGTGTGTAGTTTTATGACCTTCTTCATCCGGCCCACATGAAAGCAACTGCCTATGAGACAGTATTTTTTTATTGTTGCGTAAATTATTGCTAACACTGAACATGCTGAGTTGTTTGGACCCGCCAACCCGTGTCTCTGAGTGTGTAAGAAAGCCCCTAAAACCTGTGCTCACTTCAGAAGCAAACGAAGCCAATGCCCATATAAGGAAATCGCCTCCAGCTAGCTTACGTTCAAATCGG